TGTATTTTCTAGGAATTGTCATATCATCTAAATTTGCTGGCATAATGTCGATAATATGCTCTTGTGTTCTTATTTATTTATATCTTTTTAGAGAGAGAGAGAGAGAGAGAGCGCACAAGCAGGGGAGAGGGGCAGAGTGAGCGAGCGAGAATCCCAAGCAGATTCCACGCTCAGTGTGCAGCCTGATGCGGGGCCCGAACCCACAACCCTGGTATCATGACCTGAGCCAAGATCAAGAGATGGATGCTCAAGTGACTGAGCCCCGCAGGTGGTCCTCCTCTTATGTTCTTTTAACTGCTCTCAGAATCTATACTGACAGCATTTTCAAGTCCTCACACTGGTAACCTACACTCTTCCTCTTTGTTCCTGAATCTGACTTGCTACCGACTTTATTAGGTTTATTTAAAAAAAAATCCAGCTTTTGGCATTGTAGATCTTGTCTGCTGTATGGGTGTTTTCTATTTCATTGACAGTTTTGCTTCTTGGCATTTCTGGTGGTCTCCCCAAGGGCATAAAGCTACCCAGGACCTCTGAGGTCTGTTGTGCTCAGAGTCTCATTTTTTTTTTTTCAACGTTTATTTATTTTTGGGACAGAGAGAGACAGAGCATAAACGGGGGAGGAGCAGAGAGAGAGGGAGACACAGAATCGGAAACAGGCTCCAGGCTCTGAGCCATCAGCCCAGAGCCCGACGCGGGGCTCGAACTCACGGACCGCGAGATCGTGACCTGGCTGAAGTCGGAAGCTTAACCAACTGCGCCACCCAGGCGCCCCCTTTTTTTTTTTTTAACTGCATTGCCAGGGGCAACCGGATGGCTCAGTCAGTTGAGTGTCCAACTTCAGCTCAGGTCATGATCTTGTGGTTCATGAGTTTGAGCCCCGCATCGGGCTCTGTGCTGTCAGCATAGAGCTTGGAGCTGCTTCGGATCCTCTGACCCCTCTCTCTGCCCCTCCCCTGCTTTTGTGTGTGTGTGTGTGTGTGTGTGTGTGTGTGTGCGCGCACGCACACTCGCATGTGCACAGAAGCGTGCTCTCTCTCTCTCAAATATAAATAGAAAAACATTAAAAAAACAAAAACAAAAACACCTACAATGGTGATTTTAAAATGTTTTTATAGTGATCAAACTTTCCGGTCTTTGATGGTAAGGTTCAGAGAGTCACCCAACCTGCCAATATTTGATACAGAAAACTGATTTATAACTGTGCTGTATTTGCATTACCTATTCCGGAGCATGAAAATCATTTTAAAAATAAAGTGACAGAGAGGGGCGCCTGGGTGGCTCAGTCAGTTAAGCATCCAACTTCAGCTCAGGTCACGATCTCATACTCCGTGAGTTTGAGCCCCGCGTTGGGCTCTGTGCTGACAGCTCGAGGCCTGGAGCCTGCTTCAGATTCTGTGTCTCCCTCTCTCTGACCCTCCCCCATTCATGCTCTCTGTCTCAAAAATAAATAAACATTAAAAAAAATAAAGTGACAGAGAAATGGGCATTCTGTGTATTTATGGTGGGAGTACACACATTACAGGACCTTTGTAGAAGCACGCACCAAAACTCGAAGGAGAAACTGTCCAAACACCCGTTGACCACATCACAGCACATTCCCACATCAGCACTGCACGTAAATGTACCCCTTCCAGGGGGCAGGTCGGTGACAGCAGATGGGACAACCATCACGCCCCGTGGTGTGAAGTGGCTGAAGGCACTTGTGGCGGGCGGTCACAACAGCCTGAGGAGGCAACACCCATTTCTGAGAAGAGCCTCTTTAAACCTGTCAACAAGTAGCTTTATCTTTGAAGTTGTTGCATGGGAAGCAACCACACCCATATAAGAAAAACTAACTCATCGGTATCCCACAGCCCAGGGGTAAAAACACTGAAAAGGTGACCTTACTCAAACATGTGTTCTGGAGGCTGAACCCACAGCAGCCACCCTTGTGGCCCAGGCGCTGGGGGACCCGCTCACACCTGCGTGGTGACATACACCAAGCCGCAGAGCAGCTGTCAGGGCCAAGTCTCAGGACACAATTACGGCTGCAGTAATACAGGGGAGGAGACCTCGAATACCAGGATTTTCCATGTACTATGTGGTTAAAATAGTTTCTGCGGAAGGATTCACATAACAGTCCATGAAGCCACAAAGTCAGAGCAGGTTCCTCAGAAACCAGAGTCCTGGTCTCTGCGATGCTGTCAGACTTGGCGTCCATAACTCCTGCCTTTACACTGCTACTTTAAGTTACTTCTCATTGTTTAAATTCTTTTTAATAGTTACTTTTTTTCCCCTGATCTGGTTATGAAAGGCTAAAAATGTTATAAAAGGACAGATTACATAGTAAAACCCCTGCATAATTCCATCACTCAGAGATAACCATTATCAACAGTCTGTTATTTATTCCTTGTTTATTCCTTCCTGTCTATTCTCCAGGAAGGTGCTACACTGTATACATTATTAGAAGGTAATATAATACAGCACGTGTACTGTTTGGACATTTCTTTTTTCTTCTTGGTACATTGTGGACAACTTTGCCAACTGGTGTAACAGTTACTTGTCTCTCTAGGAGCTTAGGGCAGTCCACTGTTCCCTGTCCATATACTAGTGGGTTAATTCCTTCCCTTTTACGTTACAATGTTTCCAAGGACTTTCCTGGATGCACAGATGTACAGCTAAAGATGTTTCTATAATGGATCCCAAGGAGTCAAATGCTGGGACAACAAACCGCTACAAAGAGTGTAAAGGTTTCTGTTTGTCTTAAACACTGTCCAACACTGAGTTCATCAACATTTTTTTCCCTCCCTAAACAGTGTATTTCAACAAATCAGGTGTCCCCCCCCCCGCCTTTTTTTTTTTTAAAGAGAAGCTTCAGATTGACAGCAAAACAGAGAAGGAGGTGCAGAGAGGTTTTCCATACATTCCCCATCCACCCCTTATATGTGACCTCATCTATTACCAACGCTCCCCACTAGCGTGGTACATTTGTTGCTACTGATAAACCTGTACTGACATATACTAATCACCCAAGCCCATAGGCTACCCTGAGGTTCACTCTTGGTGGTGCACATTCTATGAGTCTGGATAAATGTATGGCGACATGTATCCACTATTATGATCATACAGGGTAGTTTCCCTGCCTTCACAGTTCTCCGTGCTCTATTCATCCCTCCCTCTGGCCTAATCCCTGGCAACCACTGATGTTTTACTGTTTCCACAGTTTTGTCTTTTCCAGAATGTCATATAGTTGGAATTGTATAGTATGCAACCTTTCAGACTGACTTCTTTCACTAGTAATGTACATTTAAGGTTCCTTCATGGTTTTTCATGGCTTGATAAGAGTATTTCCTCTTAGCATTGAAAAATATTCCATTGTCTGGATGGATCACAGTTAATTTACTCGTTCACCTACTGAAGGGCATCTTGGATGCTTCCAAGTGTTGGCACTATGAATAAAGCTGATGTAAACATTTGTGTGCAGGTTTTTGTGTGGACATAAGTTTTCAACTCATTTGGGTAAATACCAAGGAGCAGGACTGCTGGGTCACAGATTAAGAGTATGTTTAGTTTTCTAAGAAACGTCACACTGTCTTCCCACATGGCTGCGCCATTTTGGATTCCTACCAGCAAGGAATGAGAGTTCCTATTGCTCCACATCCTCGCTCGCATATGGTGTTGTCGGTGTTTTGGATTTTTGCCATTCTAGTAAGTGTGTAGTGGTATCACACTGTTGTTTAATCTCCAAAGCCCTTTTCTTTTCTGATTGTGTGTAAGCGTTTTGGGGAAGGAAGGTGGGGTCCTATCTCTAATAGAATCTTCCCAAATGTTTCGTAATCCTGAGCTATCTGCTCATGACTAACAGTATAGGGTTAAAATGCTGACCAAAACATATCAGGGGGGATGATCAATTTTGTCTTTATAGTGGGTTGAGCTTAGATTCTGAACATGGGGGTTCCCTGCTCCACCAGCCACCCAAGCCCAGTGGATGAGAACACAGGTTCAGTTTAGGGGCAGATGCCTAATACTCACAACAAATGATGGAGACATCCGGAGGACTGGGGTCATCTAACCTGCTACTCTTTTTTTTTTTTTTTAATTTTTTTTTTAACGTTTATTTATTTTTTTGGGACAGAGAGAGACAGAGCATGAACGGGGGAGGGGCAGAGAGAGAGGGAGACACAGAATCGGAAACAGGCTCCAGGCTCTGAGCCATCAGCCCAGAGCCCGACGTGGGGCTCGAACTCACGGACCGCGAGATCGTGACCTGGCTGAAGTCGGACGCTTAACCGACTGCGCCACCCAGGCGCCCCTAACCTGCTACTCTTAAGTGCAGTCTCTAACAAACGTCACCATTCCCAGCATTTGGAATTTCTAAACCTGTGGGGAACACCCACAGAGCTATCCTGTCCCATACACTTGGGCTGCAGTGTCATCTGTCAGAGTCTCTGTGCCTTTAATCTTTAAGGAATTTCTCAACATTTCTTCTAATAGTACTAATTATTTTGCATATATATACATATATATGAGGTTTATTTTAAGGAATTTGGATGGCCCACGTGTGTAGTCAATTATCTTGATTTGATCTACCCAGGTCATTTTAAGATTTTGGAAAAACAAAAATGTAGCTCTTCTCTGTCAGAAAATTTAGACACCTGATGTAGAATAGTAAGAATTTAAAAATAGCCATTAAATAATTCCCTAGTCTGTGACAGGCACTTCACATAGGGTATTCATTGCATTGGCAGGGTAGGTATTATCATCCCAGTTGTACAGAAGGATAAAGTTTAATCAGAAACAACAGTAACTCATCCAAGGTCCCCATAAGCAGCAGTGTGAGCCTGGAACCCTGACCGCCCTCTGACCTGCTCACTTGTAGATAGAAAAAACTGAGGCCAAAGTAGACAACCAATTCGCCAGAGTAACCATCATCAGAAGGCTCAAAGCTCCTTTGCACATTTTCTCCTTATTGCTTCAAGGCTGGAAGTTACATAATTTCAGTGACATTAATATGTAACAGCTCTGTGCTTTGTTAACAAGGCTGCCTGCAGACTGGGGGAGCAGGCAGAGGACAGCGAGTTAACCCCACAAAAGGCATCCCAGGAACGCACGGTCCTCCACGTGGCAACAATGGCGTCTCTGTAGTCTGGTAAAGCTCAAGGGGTACCGTGGAGGCTGGTGTGAACTTAGAGGGACACCACATACTGCTTAATGAGCCTCTACTGCTCCTCCGGTTTCTCTCCCCCTGCCTCTGCTTTCTGCTTCTGCTGCGACTGAGAACAAATATTTCCCTTGGTAACCGTCTTCCCTGGTTACTCTCTTGGCGCCTCTGCACAAAGATCTGAAAGGCATTTGTTCCCAAGGGAAGCAGTGATTTTCGATTTTACTAAGAAGTCAGCTAGCATTTCTCAACATTCCTCTCTTTCCTTGTTTTAAAGAAAGCTCTGGTTTTGTTTCATTTTCAGCCGGAGACTTTAATGACACCAAGCAGAACCTACTTAGTTTAGAATTTCAGGTAAAAGCTTAAAATTTTAAGTTTCTACTAAGGCATGTGGAATGGTTTTAATATTTGGGTGTTTTATGTTGCAAATGTGTTTAACACTTGAGGAAATTAGCTCTTACTAATAGATTTTAGAAGTTTAAAGTGTACATTATGCTGCTTACTTGTTTTTTTTTTCAGGATGAATACTTCCCAAGTATTTTGAACTTTTACAGAATTAGGATTAAAGATACTTTTGTAAGTTTAAATATAATTTACATGCTCAACAGAAGTAGAAGTTGGTTTGACAATTACATCCTCAATTTTTAAAACCTAAAAGAACAAAAAGTATTAATTAAAAATGTTTTTCATTTTCAGCCTGTTGAGTGACGTTAAAAGGGACAACAGACATTTCATGGCTTTGTGTAGAAGTTTAAAATTCTCAATGTTATTTTAAAAACTTACTTAAGACAGTGGATGAAAAACTTTAAATGGAGATAAACAATAAGTTAACCAAGATTTACAGACAGTATTTAATGTTGGGATAAAACAAGAAGGGCTGGAAAGAAAAATGTACTTGATCAAAATAATACCTACTGTGATTTAGAGTACCATAAAATTTTAACTCTAGAAACATATTTACTCAACTGCAAAGTTGCTTGTTAAAGTAAATATTAAACGCAATGCAAAATTTTATAAATCACTGAAAATAACAAAGGCCTAGGTATCAATTATAAATTAAAAAATTTTTTTTATTGATTTTGAGAGAGAGACAGAGAGTGAGAGAGAGGGACAGGCAGAGAGAGGGAGATACAGAATCCAAAGCAGGCCCCAGGCTCTAAGCTGTCATCACAGAGCCTGACGCAGAGCTTGAACCCACCAACTGTGAGATCGTGACCGGAGCTGAAAGTGGGACGCTTAATTGACTGAGCCACCCAGGCACCCTGACATTGATTATAAAATTGGCAATGAAAGGCCATTTCATAAAACTTATTTAAAATTTTAATGAGACTATTTAGATCCTGATTTTGTTAAAATTAAGATAGCTCTGAAAATTTATTTCTGTACATGTGTATTTAGGTTTCTGGATGAAAGTGAGCCAATTCTGGGGGGTAAGGAGAAAGACTCTGGGAGGTAAGTCCGGGGGGGTCCCTGGGGTGAGCAAGCCCAGGCCTGGTCCTGTCAAGCGAGTGCTTCCGGGAGGACAAGGGGCCGCCCGGGTGCTAGAGACCCTCTTGGGCGTCCTCCTAAACCCTGTCCAGGGCCGGACTAAACTTGCACCTGGTTCAAGACGGGGCGTCCGCACAGACGACTGTTAATGCAGGACAATGTCCATGCATTCTCACGCAGAGCGCAGTGCACGCTCTCCACCACAGCCACGTCCCTGGCCCCTCCTGCCGCCCCCATCCTGGCTCTTGGCCCAGCCCACATACTGCCTCCCTCCGTTCCCTGCTCTCTGAAATGACTCCTCCAGGGTCCATTGCCCATTGGCGAAGGGATTGCTCCTTTCATGACTTTTCATGTTAGTTCTACTAAAACCAAAGCAGATCACAAAAACTGGTTCCAATGTAGCTCCAATTCAATGATGTCCAGTAGAGGTTCTGAAGAGGCTGCAGTAATTAGTGGACATACATACTGAATGCAAGTCTGCATGCTGAGGCTGGCGGACAGGACAACCTTGGCGGCGGCTATGTGCGGGGCCATCAGCCCAAGGAGGAGAACCCCCTCCTTCAGGCCTCAGGCAGAGGAAGAGCAGGAGAATGAGGCTGCACTGGGGGAAGAGGACAAAGAGGAAGGCAGAGGCACAGTAGAGGACAGCTTGTGTGCAAAAGACAGATGGCCTTAGGCTAAAAGATCCCAAGAAGGATAAACAAACAAAAAACAACCCTACACATTATAGTAAAACTTGTGAATATTAAAGAGGAGTTGAAAATATGAAAAAAAAAAAAACTTCCATAGAGAGAGAGAAAAAAAAATATTTCTCACAAAGAGATAAGACCCAGATTTGGGTTGGATTCTCATCAGTAACAGCAGAGATAAGAAGTAAATAGAGGGGTGCCTGGGTGGCTCAGTCGGTTAAGTGTCCGACTTCGGCTCAGGTCATAATATCACGGTTCCTGGGTTCGAGCCCCATGTTGGGCTCTGTGCTGACAGCTCAGAGCCTGGAGCCTGCTTCGGATTCTGTCTCCCTCCCTCTCTGCTCCTCACCTGCTTGCAATCTCTCTCTCTCTCTCTCTCAAGAATAAACAAACATTAAAAAAAACAAAAAAAAGTGAAAATGGACAACAGCTATAAAGTTTTGGAAGAAAAGGATTGAAATCATTATTCTATTTCCAATTAACCAATGATATTTTCTGACACAAGATTTCAAAATTTTTAAAACCCGCAACATTCTTTTAGAGAAAGAGGATTATTTTAACAGAAAATAACAGTAATCTGAGGGAACTCCTGGTTCTGATAATAGCAGAGTAAGGAATTCAGAACAAAAGCTGTTGAGAATAATTAGAATAGAGAGGGAAAAAGCAGGACTAATATTTGGGATAGAACTGAAACCAAATAGGTTTTGAACAACTTTCCTTCTGAAGGCATCTAGAAGGAGGGTCCAGAAGAGGCAGCAGACAATTAAATGTAGCTTAATTTTTGTATTTAAAAAAAAAATTTAATGTTTATTTTTGAGAGAGAGAAAGAGAGCACGTGCGGGCGAGTGAATGGGGGAGGGGCAGAGAGAGAGGGAGACACAGAATCGGAAGCAAGCTCCAGGCTCCTAGCTGTCAGCACAGAGCCTGACGTGGGGCTTGAACTCACGGCATGATGAGATCACGGCCTTAGCCAAAGTTGGACGCTTAACTGAGTCACCCAGTCACCCCAAGAATTGAGTATAGCTTTAAAACAGCCTCAGCAGGCAAGAGAGAAATAAAGCCCTAGGAACGGGGCTACGCTGGAAGCAGGATGACAGGGAGGGTGATGCCAGTGAGGTCCCCCGCTCTGGTTTGGGACCCAGTGTGATCCATAAGCAGACATAGCAAGGCTCAGCTTCAGAACATGCAGTCTATAACTGGTAGTGCCCTCACCCTAAGGCCTGAAGCAGATGTAAATCCTTCTGGGATAAGAATTTATTATTAAAGCTTCCAAGTATTTCCCTAATTTTTCATTATACAATATCTGGTGCTCAATCAAAAGCCATCAGGCATAGGAAGAAATAGTACAATGCGGCTATAATCCCAGGGAAATAAGACAACAGAAACAGATACATCAAGTGTTCAGAAAGTGGGAGTCTTCAGACATAGACTTTAGGAAGAATGTGATTAACATGTTCAAAAAGTAAAAGACAAGACTGAAAATTTCAGTGGAGAATCAGAAACCATGAGAAGAACTCACTGAAAACTCAAAAACAAAAATCCCACAGTAACAGAAACAAGGAAGTCAACGGATGTATTTAATAGTGGAAGAGAGAATTCATGAACTGCGACACAGGTTAAAAGCATAACCAACCAGGACAATTCACAGGCAGACAGGGATAGAGACGACAAGAGAGGGTAGACGCACTGAAGACACCATGAGGAGGCCATCATGTCGACCAATGTAGCCCTAAACACACTCAGGACGAAGTAGGAAAGTACTGGGTGGAGAGAAGGGCTGATGAGTCTCCAGGCCATAGATTCAAGAAGTGCTATAAATCTCAAAGGCGACAAAAACAAGAAAATCCTATCTATGTACCATACAGCAAAAGAGCTGAGCACGAAAGCCAAAGAGAAAATCTTAGATAAAGCAGCCAGCAGAAAAAGTTATTTAAAGGAGAAATAGGGGTGCCTGGGTGGCTCAGTCGGTTAAGTGTCCGATTTTGGCTCAGGTCATGATCTCGTGGTTTGTGGGTTTGAGCCCTGTCTTGGGCTCTGGGCTGAAAGCGTCAAGCCTGCTTTGGATCCTCTGTCCCTCTTTGTGCCCCTTCCCTGCTCACGCAGGCTCTCTCTCTCTCAAAAATAAACATTTTTTTTTTTTTTAAAAAGGAGAAATAATCAGGTGGGCAGATGAATATTCAATCAAAATTAAGGAAACAAGAAGATGTTGGAATGAGATCTTCAAAATGCTGAAACAAAAAACTTGTCAACCTACAATTCCATGTCCAGCAAATGCATTCTTCCAGAATGACATAAAACATAAGTATTTTCAGATACACACACAAAAAGAAGTGGTCACCAGTAGTCCTGCATTAAAGGAATTACTAAAAAGTGTTCTTAAATCAGAAAGAATGGAACCCTGACAGAAGCCTGAAACCATGGGACGGAATGGGCAGAAAGAAAACAGTAAATGTTCAGGTGACTGTAACACAGGAGGTCCCAGCTGGGGCAGGAGGATTCCCTCCATCGCCCAGCACATAAGGTGTGAAGACATTTCTGCTCGCCATGAGCGAAGGGAAGGTGCTGGCTGCATCTACTGGGCAGAGGCCAGGGATGCTACTGAATATACAAATACAAATTCTCCAACCCAGATGTTAGTGGTGCCAAGGCTGGGAGAGCCTGATCTAAATGACAATCACCATCATCTTCTGAGGACGTCACATGTATCTAGAATTAATGTGACAAGAGTGGCACGGTGCTGGGCTGAGGGACAGAAGGAGGCTGTCCTGGCCTCACACTGTCCAGGACGACAGAGAGGCTCTGGTTTATACCAGACGTGACAGGCTGAGATGTATGTGGTAATCCCTACAAAGAGCAGAATAGTAAAAAGTGTAAATTACTAACAGAACAAGAAAAACTCAGTCATCAATTTAAAAAAGCAAGCAAGCAAGAAAAACAAAACAAAACAAGCAAGCAGAACGAATAGAAAGCTAATAGTCAGAAAACAGATTTAAACTCAAACATGTCAAGTGTTGACGTTAAATAGAGACTAAATGTTTCAATTAATAGACAAAGATTGTCACACTGCATTAAAAAAATTCCATGATATGCAAATAGAAAGTATATTGAAAATATAAGACTATCAGCTATAATATCTCACAAAGTAGATCTTACGACAAAAAGCACTATTAGCAATATAAAAAGTACCTAATGATAAAAGCACTGGAAAGATCTAACAATTTTAGATTTGAATATACCTATAACACAGTCTCAAAATATATTAATAAACATGACCAAAGTGACTTATAAATATTAAACTACGTTCAAAAATAAACCCAAGGGATAACATAGTTCAAAACCAAAGGAGACTCTATTATTATATTTGTAAACTGAAAATTAAAATTAAGAATACAAAAATACGTCCAAAAGATACATGCATAATATCTATAATCACAAAAAATTGGCAAAGAATTTAAATGTCCATCACCAAACTGTTTAGAGGGGTCATGAAAGACGCAGTAAACTAGAGGGTGGGAAGCTAGGGCCCATTCGCCAAATTCTGTTTTTTAAACAAAACACCATAGTTACATAGTCTTGCCTGTCTGTTCACCTAGTGTCTATAGCTACTTTGGGCTATCGCAGCAAAGTGGAGAAGTTTCAACAGACTGTTGGACCTCAGAGCCTAAAATATTTATCTTCTCAACTTTGGAGAAAAAGTGTGCCTACCCCTTGTACTGAACAATGAATTACAGTCAAGGCAATGTGTCTTTTCTGCCTTATAAACATACGCACCATTTTGAGTTTTTAAAACATATACGCTACTTTTAAAAATTTGACTATTAAAAAAATTTCAATATTTATTTATTTTTGAGACAGAGAGAGGGAGAGACAGAGCACAAGCGGGAGAGGGGCAGAGAGAGAGGGAGAAACAGAATCTGAAGCAGGCTCCAGGCTGAGCTGTCAGCACAGAGCCAGATGCAGGGCTTGAACCCACCAATGGTGAGATCACGACCTGGAGCCGCAGTCAGATGCTTAACCGACTGAGCCACCCAGGCGCCCCTCAAATTTAAACATTTTAAGAACAAATGATAAAAAAAGATTATGAACTCTGGAGAGAGAAACCTATGTGAACGCGGCCTGTATCTTTATCTTTTAAAAGTTTATTTATTTAAGTAATCTCTACCCCAATGTGGGACTCAAACCATGACCCTGAGATCAAGAGTTACATGCTTTTCCCACTGAGCCAGCCAGACACCCCCATGGCTTGTATTTTTACATTTCTTTGGGCTTTCCTAT